TTTTTTTTTGAAGGAAGAGATTGAATACTAAGCTCATGAAAAGTTTTACATGAGAAACTGGTGTATTTGATTTTTTGTTTTTCAGAGTTTTTTTTTGGTAATTTCTGCTTGATCGACTCATAAATAAGATAGAAAAGTAGGTTTCAGAAATTGCATTTATCAGATTTGATCACTTGAGAATTTAGGGTAAATAACTATTTGCAAATCACTTTTGGTAGATAGAAATTTTTTTTATTTTTTTTTCAAAATTGAGAAGAGTTAAGATGGAATTTGACATTATTTTAAACATCCATTGTTTTAATTTACACCTTTGATGATATAAAACATGCAATGCATTAATAGTGTCACAGTCGAAATTGTGTGCATAATGTACTCAATGCATGAGATAAACATTGTACAAAGAACCCAGGTCTTTGTAATAAATTAAAATGTAATAAAGAGTTTAAATATTGTAGTGTCTTTCCATTTGATGTTAAATTAACATAACCTTTTATTTGAAATATATACATATTTAAATAGAGAGGTGTAAGGAGTTTGGATTGTAAGATTTTGCATAAGGTACAGATTCAACTAGGTACTTTTATCTTGTAGGACATACACATTTTACTTCTTAATTTTGTATTTTAATGTTCATTCAAAACTTAAAATTAACAAAGCTTACACATTCACAGTAGCTGTATTTATAAATGAAGTATTTCATTTGATAACTTAATACAAGTTTCTTTTTTTTCAAATTGTAGCATCTTAAATGATTCATCTTATCGAGAAGCTGTAGAAAACTCTGCAAATTATAATACTCATCTGTGCTCAGAGAGAAAAACTAGACTTCCATTTTTGGATGCTCAAACTGGAGTTGCCCAAAGTGACTCTAATCTCTGGATGCCAAAATGGCAAAGAATGCCTGGCCAGAATGAAGGACAACTATATACTTACCCTGCTCGACGCTGGAAGAAGAAACGATGGCAGTATTTAATGAATGACAGATATCTCACTGGAAGGATACGTGAAACAGATGCTACTGAAACAGGTGGTTAATCTTAGATACATTCTAAAATGGGTCATCAAAAATTAAGAATTTGTACTTCGAAGGTTATGTTGTCGTTAAAATATTTACTTGGATATATATTCAATTTAACTGAAACCTACATTTGCATTTTTTTTTTTTATCTTTGCATATTATTTTCATACAGTATTATCAGTTGGTAGACATGTATAAAGATGTGTGAAGTACACATTTATGAAAAAAAAATTACCACAGATGGTGTTGCAAGGTGATTTTAAAACTATATTTGCTTATCATGTGATATCATTAAATATTGCAGTTAAAAAGTGAGAATTTGATGTTTATACTTGTTTATTCACTCATAAATTAGTAGGATCATTACAGTTACCAGTTATTAATAAATGAGTAGAAAATCTTATTCTATCATGCCTATCTCATTTAGAATCTACTGTTGAAACAGACTTATGGCATATTGAACATTTTTGAGATGTACATTGACACTGCTGTAGCCTTAAGTTCCAATACGATACCTCACCTCTACTCACATAATAGCTTTTCTGGATTTGTGCTGCCCTCTATTTGCATAATTTTTGCCCACCACTAGCCTTGATGCTCCACCCTATCCTCACAATTTCACGTGGTATAGCTATGCTGTAGCGTGCAGATAAGCATGCAACACCCCTTCCCCCAATAGGAGTGTGAGACCTTCCTAGAGCAGCTGATTCCCTCTATACTGTAGAGCACTCTCATCACTTCTTGATTTGACATTCCAGTGTGCAGTTGTGCTTGATTTTCACTCCGTGATTTGTTGTATTGTGTGCAGTTTCACTAAATACAACTTTAGTTTGTTGTCTTTTTTTTTATAAGAGTTTTTTGTGGAAAGTTTCATTTCTTTTCCACATAATGAGCTCTCAATTTAATATTATTGCATTAGTTTCTGGTATGGATCATGCTACTACTGATTCAACTACAATTATTACTTGTGTAGCTTTGGGTTCCACACTTTCAGCAGAAGAAGTCTTGGCCTTAGTGTGTCATGAGTTAGAGTCTATAATGTGACAAGCTACATCTCCAGAACCACAGTTGGATCTCCCATTTCCTGGAGAATCTGTTCCTGAAGAGGAAGATTTGAACAGCCTTTTTCTACCTCCTGCCTTTGCTGTGCCTACCCATTATACCCCTCTTGATCTACCTTGTCCTTCATCTGCATTTTCTGAGCCAATTTTGTTGGTGACTATCCTGTGGATTCCAGCACCATGGTGATATGGTTGGCCAGGTTTGCTTATCTGTGGTTCCCTTTCACCACAAGTTCTTGGGTTCTTTAGATTCTAACAGAAGGACTGTCTATTGGTTTCCCACTCCTCTCCTTCTATCCCCATGTCTTGTTTCTTCTCCCCCTCCTCAGGATCCACTTTCTTGCCAGCATCTCTCCGAGGTGGTTTGAGATATCTTGAATAAGGACATTATAGAACAAGTGTTTCACCTTTCTTTGAGATTTTATTCCTGGCTGTTCTTTGTTCCCAAGATGATCGTGGATTGAAGTATCATTATTGATCTCTCCAACCTCAATCGTTTTCATTGACTTCCCACAGTTCACCATGGAGTCTTTTTTTGCCCTCTGATGGTCATTCACTACAGGCCATATCGATGACCAAGGTCAACGTCTCGGATGCTTACCTTTATATCCTGATTTCTCCAACATCGAGACATTACTTTTTGCTTGTTCAAGGGGGTTAGGTGTTTCAATTCCACGCTCTACCATTTGGTCTGGCATCTGCACCATACCTCTTTTGTGTCGTGGTAAGAACCTTTGCCCACCATATTCACAACCAAGGTTTGTAGTTTCATCATTATATGGACTATTGACTCCTTTTAGCTCCTTCCTAACAAGCCTTTCACAACCATACCCATTTTATTCTACAGGAAGCACTTCTGTGGGATGGCTTGTCAAACTTGAGAAGTCTCATCTTGCCACCACACAGTATCTCATTCATCTGGGGTGGTTTTCACCACCTATCTCAGCAGGACCCATCCTTTTCCTTTTTGTATGTGAGTGATGGAGCTCTTGGTTTCCAAAGCCAAGTCTTCTCCTTCTCTTTCTGCGTGTTAGGTTTTTTTTCTCTTTTGGGGATCTGGGCTTTCATGAAGTCCCTCATCCCTTGGGGTCATGCACACGTGTTGCCTTAGTGGGTGTTGCACGATCCATGGAATCTCATTCAGCATCCCTTGGACTCTGTCATTTTCGGCATTCATCTGCCTTTTCCTGTCCCGAGTTGCATCTCTTTACTAATGCTTCTCTTATGCGATGGGGGTCGTATTTGGATTCTCAAGAGATAGCCAGTCAGTGGTTGAATCTTCTCTAGATATCAACCTTTTGGAACTCCTAGCTGTTTGTTAGGCTTTTGATAATTTCCTGCTGGTGGTACAGGGCCACTTGGCTATGATCCATTCCAACAATTCAACCATTGTCTCTTACAACAATAATTAATGGGCACCCAATCCCATTCACTTTCCATTCTGTTCTTCTTGCTTGCCACATCCAGTATGCTCTGTGGTAGATTGGCTATTTAGTCACGACAAAATACTGCCAATGGCGTGGTCTGTTGCTCTTCAAGTGTTTCTGTGATTATGCTCCCAGCTGGTTACCCCCTTATGGATGCATTTGCCAGCTCAATACAAAATTTCCTCTCTCTTGGTCTCCTGTTCCACATTGTTCAGCTTTAGGAGTGGATGCTTTCCAATTTTTATCTGTATGCTTATCCTTCTATCCATCTTCTTCCCTACATTCTCTCTTACACAAACCACTCTGTGTCGAGCCCTTCTCATTGCCCCATTCTATCTTGCACATCCATGCTTTCTACTGTTGAACCTCCTTCAATCATCTCCTCCCATAACCCTTCCACTTTCCTTATCCATTCTCTAGTAATCTTAATCCTCTGTTTTTAATTCCACTGTAACCACACTCCCTCTTCTTGCATGGATTTTGTCCAGTCCCTTGTGAGGTGAGTGTGGGTAGCCTTCCTTTTTTCTTGCTCAGTGTGTTATTCTTTTTTGATGGTTTACCAGTATAAATGGTACATTTTCCATCGTTGGTCTTTGCACCATGGCCTCTCCCCTTCCCAACCAAGTGTTTTCCATCTCTTCAATTATTTTACTTGGCTTTTCGACATTGGTTTATCTGGTTTTAACATTGCGGGCTATATGGCAAGCCTTGTCCAATACCTTTTGTTTTTTACACTTCGTTCATACTTTTCATCTACTGGTTTGCTCCTTTCACTTGATTTGTCCATCCTCCCCAGTTCCCCTACCAGATTGGAATCTCATTGTTTTCCTTCATGCCCATATCCTTCCTCTCATTGAATCTTTGGCTTCTTGCTCTCCCTCTTACTTCTCTTTGCTTGTGGATGTTGGAGGTCGGATATCTTTGCTATAGACATCTCCTGTATTCTTTATCACCTATGTCCTCCTTTATCCAGATCATAGTTTTTTCTCCAAGATGTTGATGGCTCATGAAGTAAACATCACCTTCACTCCTATTTCCCTCTGGATCATCTTCTTTGTCCAGTACAGGCTCTGCATTGTTTTGTTGCCTGCACAACTTCATTCTGTTCCCATCCTTTTATACCTTGGAATTCCTCCTCTACCCATAATCTTTCTCCTGTCACCCTTACCTCATGGATGCACCAACTTATTTGTCTTGGGTATGCATAGTTATCTGAGGATTCTCATCATATTTTTCATGTTTTCTCCCTCCAGATCCATCATCTCACACTTTCCCTGGCTGTCCACTTCCATTATCCATTGGAAGAGATTGTGCAGGCTGACATGTGGACTACAACTCGCATGTTTATTGTCCACTACCTGCATCATTTGGCCATCTGTTCTTCACCTGGCTAACATTTGCTGCCTGTTGCCATTTTTCCATACCTCATTTTGACTCTTAATCCTTTAATTCTATGACTATGGGCTGGGTGGAATCCACTAGCCCCATAACCACCAAATTATCCATGAGAACAGTAATATTATAATTTTTGATAATGTTTGCATATTTTCATAAAATTTTGTAGATTACCAGGAAACATTACAAGGCTTCCATACACAAAATATTGTTTTTTTTTAAGTATTAAGATTTTTCAATTAAAGATTTGTTGTGAGCTATTTTCTTTTGGAATGTTGACAATCCAACATGCAAAGTAATTTTGATTTTAAGATTAAAAATACTTTTTTTCATCTGAAAATTTTCAAGTTTCATTTGCGTAATCTCTATACCCTCCTAAATATATTTCAAACATTCTGTTTTTAGAAAAACTTCATATTTTATGTATTTTTTCTCTACCTTAACTCTACACAGGGTTGGTCGTTTTGAACAACCACCATAAAAAATTATGAAATAAGTTTAAATTATACTTTATTTATTCTAGAATGACTGCAATTTTTAACAGGAAATCACAAATATTTCTTCTAAATAGCTTAAATCTTGTAACCTTGTACATCTATTTATATTTATAATTTTTATTTTATTGACCTTTCAGCAGTATCTGACTAACAATAGTGCTACAGAAGTTGCACTCGCATGACACACGTGCAGCCATATCCAATAGCACAAAACTGGCCTTTACAAGTGCAGCTGTCTTAGCTTTGTACTACTAGTGCACTAGTATTTTGTGAAATACAATCACATTTCAGTTACAATACATTACATATGTGTATATATGTTATTACTATTTACAAATAAATTCTTAAATTTCAGTTATTTTTCTTAAAATATAGAACAGTAAATAAAGGAATATAGTAAACAATGAACTCTACTACTTATGATTGTTTGTGTTAAGAAACTTGTACTCGCTTATCATAAACTGCTAAGCCATGTCAAATTTTGCACATGGAGTATTTAAAACAGAATAATATTTTTAGGTTTTATATATGCATTTTGAAATAAAAATAAAAATTACTATATCAATACCACAGAATTCCACAGTAATGTGTTGGGTATACTAACTAAGCTGTATTTGGCTCTAAAAATA